TCGGTGGGGGGCCGGCCGCGAGGCTGCGGGGGGCCAGGCCTCACGGTGAGTGCCGGAGCCTGCGGCGACCGTGCTGCCCCGGCCACGATTCTCGGTTATCTGCTCCCTGCTCTCTACAAGTGTGCGTGTCCCACCCCCTCACGTGTCTCTCCACGCAGATGTGCCACACAAACCGACCACGTGCCACCGGGTGTCGGCCGCGTACAGGTACCTCTGATACATGGCGGGACCGATCTTTGCCCCCAAGCCTCTCACACTGTCATGTGCTAGAAAGATGAGGCAGGTACACATGCCAGTCAGGGCTGCCCTGGACGGTGCAGAGGTGCAGAGGGGAGGCAGCCAGGGGAGGGGGTCCGAGAGACGCAGGAAGGGCTAGCTCCCCCCTCCCTGCCCTGTCCAGGAGCCTCCCCTGTTAGGTTTAGTTTACTTTAAGCACGAGTGGAGTCCGTGTGCACAGAGGGGAGATGTGCCCTCGGCAGGGTCTCCTGTTGCTGCCATCCTCCCTCCCCAGCCTCCAGCTCGTCGAGGTCTGGGGCACATAGTGTGTGCCCATGGGGCCAGACTGGCCCAGGGATCCAGATCGCCGGCCTGTGGCTCTGAGCACACAGTCCCGTTAGCTGCCGCCCGCACCGCCAGGCAGGGCCTGCTGCCCCTTCTCACCCCACCTTCTCTACCCTCCGCCTCCCTTCACGGAAGTTGGCAGGCACAGGAGACGCCATCCGCTCTCGCTCACTGAGTAATTGTTGGGTTCTTATCATTTACTCTACATGCGAGACACTGTAACTATCTTATTTGTTTTACATTAAGGCAAAGCTGGTAGAATAGCTTTACACTTACAGGCAGCTTAAAAAGTCTTTCTCTTTGTGCTATTTATTTATTCTTCATTGTTCTCTCAAAAAGTAGCAGTTAAAAAAAGTAACACTTTTTAGAAGATAAGCTTTTCCTTCCCAGTAAAAACCCGCTCGCGGGACCTGGTGGTGTAACAGGTACATCACTGGACTCTGTGTAGTTGATTGTGGCTCGAGTCCTAGGCCTGGTGGTTTGAACTCCCCTGGGCGCACTGCATGTCTGAGAGGAGAATGAGGAGGGACTGTGGTGTGGCCATCCCCCCGGGGTGAGTTCGCACCTCTCTGTCTCTCCAGGGAGCACACTCGCCCTATAGCAAAAATCTCTCTTAAAAAAAAAAAAAAAACAGTGCAGTGTCAAGAGCAAGAACACACACAGTCTCACAAAATCAAGTCAAAATAAATATAGGATTTCATTTAGAATTTCTGGGAAGAAAATAACATCTTCAGGACTCCTTGTCAATGGTCCAAAGTCCTTAGTGTAACTCGGAATTCCCAAAACCACCTCCAGTGAGCGTGACAGACCGGGTGTAGTGAGTGTGATGGGTGACCACTCCGTGTCAAACTGGAGAAGCTTCTGGGTAACACGATTTGTTTACCTACAAGATTCACCGGAGTCTGTAACATGCTCCTCAGGGCCTCCCTCTGGGAGTGAGCCTGAGCCGGCCAACAGCCCTCCGGCCAGGTGTCCCCTAGCCTCGGTGTGACGCTCGGCAGCAATGCCTCTCCAGTGCGATCCGGGGACAGGCTGAGAACGAAGGCCTTAGTCCTGTGTCTGTGCACGAGAGCCTGGCCGCCCTCGCTGCACACACGTGTGGTAGCATGTTAGTGAGCTATCTGGGGAGTGGAACGGACTCTGTTCCTAGAGCGTTTTCTAGCCCTCAGATGTACAACCGTGGTCACGGCTAAAACGCTGAGCCCTGTCTCCCCGCAGACACCGGCAGAGAGAAGAGCCGGTCGCGGCCCTTCCGTCCCTCCAGTCTCACCACAACACGCCTGGCTGTCATCACCGCTTCGTACTCCACCCTGGAGGAGGTGGCAAGGAATGCACTAGCAGAGAGGTGGGCCGCAGTTGTCCTTCACTTTGCCTCGTTTTATTTGCGCATGATTGAACACATGCACATGCATGTGAGTGGGAGAGAAAGACCCAGGGGGAGAGCAGCGCTCCTCGGGGTCCGGCTCTGCAGCCGTCACGCAGTCCGGCTTTTTAGAGGCAGTAGGTTAGCACTGTGCCACGGAGAGCCCAAGCAGGCCCGCATTTTAGATGAGATGATATAAAACGTTACGAAAATGGGCTCAGATGGGTCCATTTAGGGTGTGGGAGGAGGCGACAGGGCAGGTTCATAGGTGCCTATGCGACTTGGCGCCTGCTTTCTCGGGAACTCAGATGGAATCTCCCGACTGGTCAGCCTCCGAGCAGTCTAAGTGGCTGCTGTGTCATTCGGCCCGTGGGGGCCAGCTCGTCAGCCGGAGGCTCCTCTGTGGTTCCAGCGCCGGGAGCTGACACGCCTCACTGTGACTCCTCGTGTCCCTGTGCAGTCACCTGTGACTCCTCCAGGGAACGCTGTAGACATGGGCAGTGGAACGAGAGAGACCGGGATTCTGAGCTCCAGGCTGTGCGTTAGTAACTGTGCACACGTGGGAGGTGTGTGGACAGTCTGTGGATACGGTGCCTCCAGATGGCAGGGGACGTTCCCATTGACTGACAACTGTACTCGCTATTCTCCTGGAACGATAGCGACATTGTGCCAAGGGATGCGGTAAGACAGTGACCCAAACTGATAGCTCCATTTCTGTCGCTTACCCTCTCAGACAGACCGGCAAATGGGAGCATTAAGCACCGATAAGTACCAAGCCGTCAGTCCTCTCCACGTTCAAACATATGGCGATATGCTGGGTTCTCGCGGCGAGTACACACGTGTACCGGATCGAATCAGAGGCATGTCTGTATGGGAGGAGTGACGCTGTGTTGTGCTTTCTTCTCCCATGATCCTCCAGATTAAGTCAGACTAGGACATGGGGCGAGGGAACGGCTCCTCCACCGACTTCCTTCTCCTGGGCCTGTTCCCCGACTCCCCGCATCCTGGCCTCTTCGTCACCATCATCCTCCTGATTCTCGGGGTGGCCGTCATGGGAAACGCCGCGCTGATGCTCCTGATCTGGAGTGATGCTCGCCTCCACACCCCCATGTACGTCCTGCTCAGCCAACTCTCCCTCATGGACCTGACGCTCATCTGCACCACGGTCCCCAAGACGGCCGCGGACTTCTTCTCGGGACACAGAGCCATCTCTCATGTTGGCTGCGGGGTCCAGATCTTTCTCTACTTGATGCTGGGAGTGGCCGAGTGTGTCCTGCTGACTCTCATGGCCTTCGACCGCTACCTGGCCATCTGTAGCCCCCTGAGATACTCAGGCACCATGACCCCCAGAGCCTGCGCGCACATGGCCGCGGCGTCGTGGGCGGGGGGCGTGCTGGTCTCCCTAACGCACACGGTGTACGCCATGCACTTCTCCACCTGTGGCTCCAGGAACATCCAGCACTTCTTCTGCGAGGTCATGGCCCTCCTGAAGCTCTCCTGTGAGGACACCTCTGCCTATGAGAAGGTGGTGCTGGTGTCTGGCATCGTCTTCCTTCTCCTCCCCTTCGGACTCATCCTGACCTCCTACGCCCTCATCCTCCTCGCTGTCCTCCGTGTGAGCTCCCCCGAGGGCAGGAACAAGGCCCTGGCCACCTGCTCCTCCCACCTCGGTGTGGCCAGCCTCTACTTCGGCCCGGCCATGGTTATCTACATGACCCCCGGCTCCTCTCTGCCCGCACGGGTGGACCAATGTCTTTTTGTGTTCGATGTTATCATCACCCCCATGCTGAACCCCCTCATTTACAGCTTGAGGAACAAGGAGGTGCTGGGGGCTCTGAGGAAGGTTCTGGGGAGAAAGCTGAAGTTTAAATGGAAAAGATGATGCCATTTCTGCGTTAAAATACCCAGACTCTGTGCTAGTATCGCACTTACTACTGGTGCTGTCATGAAAAAACCAAAACCCAGATTTTACTTCCAACCTCATGAGGGAATGATGGTACTTCTATTTAATATTTCTTTTTTTAAATTTTATACATTACTATACATAGCTTTGCTTGTAAGTTGAATTTCCCGACATGAAGGTGCTCCACACCAGTCCAGGTGAGGACAGTGAGAGGGACAGATGCAGGCCAGCCGTGGTGCACGGGGTGTTCTGACAGGGTCTCTCAGATCGGCCCGTCATGAAGTGAGTGCCCAATGTGGCTAGACCTCACGGGTCACTCTTTGGGGAGGTCTCTATGTACGTATCTCAACAAGCTCTGTGCGGCTCAAGCTCTTCTGCTAGAAAACATGGTCTTCATCACCTTCCCAGCCCCGCGCCTACATCCGTCTCCTCTCCACTCTGCATTGCAGCCTGCCTTGAATATTTCAAACGCACTCTGAGTCACCACCTTCAGTCTTCAGTCTGGATGGCCTCGGTATTGAAATGGTGCTTTACCGTGAAGCTGTCTCCAAACCCTTCCAGGGGTTTACCAGCTTCTTTCCAATTCCGTCAGTTACCCTTCACCTCTGCCGTAGCATTTTAAACCCTGCTTTGTGTTACAGTCTGTCCAAACGTCTGCCTCCAAGTGCAGCTTAGCGCACAGAGCTCCAGTCCTGTGCATCTTCAAATGTTTTGTGGGTTTTTCTAAACTCAAATGTCACCTGTGTTCATATTCTTTTACTGGAGAATAGGAATGTAACCTCTTGTTGTTCTTGGTCTCAAAATACATGTCAGGACTTGCTGAAATAAAACCAGCTTCTTAGACGAGTGCGGGACCTAACTGTGACTTCATTTTCTCAGATTTCAACAGGCTGAGCTTAATATCTTTGTGGCCTTGAGTGCTTACAGCCCAGCATGAAATGCCCCCGTACGGCTGGGGCATGCTCGCTGGCATCATTTACCTACCAAGTCGATACCATGGAAGGTTGGCGGCTGGTCGACTGAGGTGTTTGTTAGACTGAGTGTGGCCCTGCTTGGCCGATGGTGGAACTTAGTATCATGGGCCCAGATGGAACTGGCAGCGTCCTGGGAGATGAGTAAGAGCAGAATCAAGAAGCGACACATTGCCATCAGACAATAATTTGTATAAAGGAATATTTCAATCCATT